CCCTTTTAAATACAGGAAATTTTTACAAGAAGTATGAGCAGGCATCATCGGACGTGGAAACGCCGTGAAAATCATTAGCAATACATTCACTTCCTAATCTTTTGGTCATCCCGTGTTCCTTTCACACACATTCAAAACTGCTGTTGGAGATAGAGATGGGGATTATTCTTGGTAAAGGAACTTGGCGGTGGGAGTAACCAATTTATCCAGGAGCACAGAGCCAGCTAGTTAACATGGAACTAGAGCTTCCATCCAGGCCGTGACTGCAGAAACTTTTTTATAAGGCATGAAACCCCCAATTTTGGTATTTCCCCAGAAGGGAACTTCTGGAATCCCTATCTCCAGTTGCTATTTTCAAGTGGTGACGATGGCTGAAGGCTTTTCCTCAGAGACAATTGGAGGAAAGGAGAAAGGAAGAGAAGGTGCTAACTCTATGCTCGAGGCTGGATTTTTGCTGAATATTTGAAGGGAAGACTTGAATCCTTCCTTGGTTTGAAGTGAACATGGCGCAGAGCGGCAGAGCAGGAGGAGAGTGAGTGGGTGGTGAGTTGGGCCTGCTGGAGCCGAGTGGGGACAGGGTGTGATGGTTGAAGAGTGAGCCCTGTTTTGAGAAAGAGACGCCGTTTCCCCTTCTAGTCCGGAAAAGTAGAGAGGGATAGATACGGGGGATCTGATTGGGAGGAGATGTGAAATTCAGGATTGGTGCACTTGAAAGCTACCAGCTGCGTTCTCTGGAAGCCAAGTCCGAGGCAGGGGGTAGACTACTGGTGTTTATTGGGATGGCACCTGGGAAAGGGGGGAGGGGCAGATCGGGCAGAGTAAGGAGTCACACTGTCATTCGGGCCTGACAGAGCCTGGGAGCAAAGGCAGCCCATGGTGGCTAAGCGGTGCCCCTCCCTGTCCTGGGCAGCAGGTTGGGGTCCCTGGAACGCATGACCTCAGATGAGGCAGCCGTCTGCAGCTGAGGGCCCAGCTCTGTCACCGTCCTGCGACAGCTCGGCCATGGTCCTTCCTTGCGGGGCGCGGGGGGCCTCACCTCCACGTTCACAAGAGCTCTACACCTGTGTCAGGTGAAATCTTACTGCGATAGAGGTTAATTAAGAAGGACGGTGATGGTTTGGAGAGTCCCCAGGGGTGGTGAGAGAGGTGCTAGCCAAAAAAAAGTGAAGGGCCAGCCACAGCCAGGGGCCTGACCAGGAGAGGGCCCCAAAGCAGCACCGCACACCGCGCTCAGCAGGGACACTGCGTCGGGGAGATGGCATGATTTCTGCTAGACTTCTAGCCTCGCTTGCTGCACTAGCAGTGACTGGCTAGAGCGGACCCAGAGAAGGAAAAGCAGGTGCGGAGTGCTGGAGAACATGAGAGGTGAGAGGTCAGAAAAGGCCACTTCACCAATAAGCAATAAGCAAAGCACCTTCATGGCTGGAGGTCGGAGCAGAGGCCTCTGGGAGGAGAAAAGGGGAGGGTAGAGCAGGAGCCCCTCCCAGGTGCCACCGTTGCCCTGCTGGGTGACCGTGAGCACATGGCAGGGGACTCATCCACTGTGGGCATGGCTGATACCATGATGACAAGACAGCCACCCATCCCTACACTTGTCACCTTCGCATCTCAGCAGCAGGTGACAGAAAATAAGGGACATGAAGTGTAGGGTACATTCGAAGATGATTTCACTCTGGAGAAAATACAGTGTGAGGAGGGCGTGGGGGTGAAAACAGGCTGCAGTTTCACACAGGGCCACCCAAAACACTCTCACTGAGAGGGTGACGTTTGACAAAAGACTTGAAGGAGGAGCCCTCCATGCAGATGTCGGGCCCAAGAGCTCTCCGGAGAGAGGAACGGCAAGTGCAAATGGCAGGATACACTAGATATTTATTTATTTATTGGAGAGAGACTGAGAACACGAGCAGGAGAGGCAGGGGGAGAGGGAGAGAGAGAATCTCAAGCGGACTCCACACTGAGCAGGGAGCCCGTCGCAGGGCTCTATCCCACGACCCTGACATCATGACCTGAGCCGAAACCAAGAGCGGGAGACTCAACGGAGTATGCCACCCAGGCTCGCCACCACAGGCACATTTTAATAGGAGCCTTTTCTCTGTCATCTTGAGAAAAGATCTCCCCTCGGGAACCTGAAGGCAGAGGACGCTGGGCACCGTGAGGATTTGACTGGTCCAAGTAGACAACCGTGGCCCCAGAAGATGACCCATTGCCATGCGCGTGGAGGCTCTGAGTGAGGAATTTGGAGAAAGCAAGAGTGTAGCTCCACCATTAACAACACTCTCCATGTAGTCCTCCTATGCCAGGCTCTTCCTTCCTCCCGGTGCCTCCACCCCTCCTCCTCACACTACTGAATTCCATGTGTGTCTTGTGTTTCTAGCTTTGTGATTTTGAAACTCGCCTTCACACGAAGTTCGCATCTGTCCATTTCCCGCGCTGATGTTCCTGTGGCAAGCGCAGTTACAGGTGCCCCTCCCGTGGTCTCTTAAATATCTTGACCCCCTCACACGTCTTCCCTTTTAACTAATGCCATATCTGTCCTTGTCTATTATATTTTATGCCACCTACCAGGTGTGCCAGGTAATTATCTAGTCTTCTGTGAAAGATGTTTATATTGGAACTCTCATTGACATCAACCCTTGAACCTTAGGAGAATGTTAGAATACAAATCCTGAAGACAGGCTAATTTTAAATTCTGGTTCTTATTTTATCTGGCATTAAAGTAAGTCAAATCAGTTTTTCTCAAATTTGAGGGATGTGAAGGGCAACGTTTTAAAAAAATCCTCTAAGGCTAATAAGGTTGAATAAAACTATTTCGCAAAAAAAAATCTCTTAAATCTGTCTAGATATAAATTTAGACATAAACATTTTATGCTTATACAACTGGAAGGCCCAAATGAAAATCAGTAAATTAGATATAAATAAAAGAACAAAACCAAAAGCATTCCAGTTAACTTCTGTGAATTTCATATCGCAGATGCTGGCATTTTGCTGAAACTAAATTGTTGCCTGGGATGCAACCAAGGCCGGGGCTGGTTGGCCAGGTTCCCCTGAACTGTGCATGCCCACATCGCTGCACCCATGGTGCCTCTCCCACGTGAACCTCCTACACTTGGTGCCAGTCCGCGGGCCCCCCGCTCGTTGGAAATGCACCCCTGGAATTCTGCCTCGGCTCTTTCCTTATGGGTTTCACAGAACCTCTTCTTCCCAAGATGATCTAAAATTCTAGCACCAAGATGAGGCTGAACTTCCACCGTAGTTCTTAGTTGAACTGTGGCTAACCGAATGATCCAGCATGACTTCTCCTAATTGTTTAGATAATTATCAGAATAGCAATTCTGATATGAACATCTCAAAAAGAACCTTCAGACCGCATGTCCGTGGCATCCAGTTGGACAAACACAGTTCTAATGTCAAGGATCTAGCTTCCTTTCTTTATAACATTGGACGTGCCAGAGGCAATTAACATACTGTGTTTTCCACCAAAATATTCATCTCAGGATTTTCATTTATTTTCTTGGTCTACGGTCAGATGGTGACATCGCCTGTTTAGATTTTGTTTATATTTTTAAAACTCTTTTGTACTACTTTGGTAAGCATTTGGAAACCACTCTCGCAAGGTATGAAATGTTATAATATCAAGGACAATGTCAAATATAACATCAAACAGCAAAACCATGTTTCAGCATTTTACGTGACCACAGAATTTCTGAATTGCAACAGACCCCGTCAAATTCATCTCTACAATATCCTGCAGAAATAGTCATTTAGCCTGTGTCTGAAAACCTACAGTTACTAGCTAATCAGGCAATGTATTCCATTTTTAAGTTAGAAATTTCTTTCTTTTGAACCAAAGTCTACTGCTGTCATTTTTGCCTCTTAGTTTTAATCCTACCTTCTAGAATAAGACACAAATCTAATCTCTCTTGCAAAGGATAATTCCTTCACCTCCGTGAAGATGACAACTCCCTCCTTCCTCAGCCTGCCCTCCCCAGATAGACGTCCACGTCCTCGGTACTTTCCATTATTCTTACATCACAAGGCTGAGTAACACGAACAACAGCACAGTGATTGCTTTGGTGTATTTTGCATACAACCCAATTCCTCAGTAGAAGCTTCAACAGATTATGTAATCCATAGATTGTATCTAAGAAGTGAGCTTTTATATCAATTTTTGTTACTACAGTTAATATCATAAATGACTACAAACTAATACGTACAATTATTCAGTTAAAAGGACAGGGATGGAACATAATTAAATGACGACTAAACATGTACTGGCATGCATACATATAATTTATTTACTTATTTCTGTTTACAACTGGGGAAAGAAAATGGGAAAGCCTGAAGAGGCTCTTACCGACCGGGTAGAACGGAGGAAGGTCACGGGCACCCTGACTATCCTGGCTTTCTTCCCAGGTCCTTTCCATAAGAGCCCCTTTCCAAACTGAAAGATAGAATCCCTCTGGCCTTGACAGAGCCTCCTGGAAGAACCAGGCAAAGTTCTAAACTACAACCAAATCCTGTGAAGATGCGGTATCCAGCTGCCCCATCTTCCTTCTTAGTTCTCTGTGTGCAGCACGCGCCCCGCCCCGCCCCCCGCCAGAGCGAGGAAACAGGATGTGGTAAATAAGCACAGTGAGCCTATACTCACCAACTCTCCCACTCCAGCCCCACAGAATCCTGGCTCTCTATGAGGGACAAATGACATGCTGGGGAGAAGTGACATGGTGGCCTAAAGGCCCACAAAGGCCGGGTCACCATCAGGAGGGAGAAAAGGCTTGGCTGCGCTCACCTGCTCCTTCCCAGTGTCACAGTGGGGGACCGGATGGCAGCTATAGTGCCCTCCGAGGTGTGGCCTTTGTGTGGTTGCTTAGAATGTGTTGTGCGGGTGGGGATCTGCGTCCCCCCCAACACTGGACGCTGCTAGTCATATGTGCACGTAAGAACCCATTACCGCACCGAATGGGAATAACGTGTTTGTGATTCATTCTGTTCTCCAACAGCTGGCTGCCCCAACTCCTTGATTAAAGAGCTCCATCACTTCAGGATTCTTGGAGAAGAGCAGGTGAGTGGGCCTCTCAAAGGCAGTGCCAGCGTGTCGTGAAAGATAGACACTAATGAGACAGTTTGGGCTCTCTCCAGGGAGGCAGAGTGTGTCTCCTGACCCTTGGCGCCCTAAAACGGGGAGGAAAGCCACACTGCAGATATGTGTGAGGACGCTCTTTCCCTCTTCTATCCATCAGACCTGACAAGTTGTTAATTGGTACATCTGCTATCTGCCGGAGCATTTCATCTCAGGATGCTGGCGGTAAGCAGGGACAACATGGTGGCAGGAGAGCCAACAAGTTAGTGTCCGGACGCATGATGGGTAAGAGACCAGGAGCCACAGACGGCCCTGACGTGATGTCTGCGTGTGAGGGCACCAGCCCCTCTCACCAGACCTCTGCACGGTGTGCACCTCCTCCGTATCTCACTGCAACTGCTTTCTCTATGGATACAAACGTGTGACTTATATACATACAAAGGCAGGCCCATTAAAAGTAGATTACTTCAGGGGTGCTGGGTGGCTCAGTCGTTAAGCGTCTGCCTTCAGCTCAGGTCATGATCCCAGGGTCCCGGGATCGAGCCCCGCATCAGGCTCCCTGCTCGGCAGGGAGCCTGCTTCTCCCTCTCCCACTCCCCCTGCTTGTGTTCCCTCTCTCGCATTCTCTGTCTCTGTCAAATAAATAAAAATAAAATCTTTTTTTTAAAAAAGTAGATTACTTCAATACTGTGGTGCTCGGTGACATGTCAGATTTTAAAGAGATGTGCTAAGTAAATAATTCAGGGTGCCGAATTACACACACACACACACATGCACGCACGCGCACTTTGCCTGTGTACAAATACATTTCTTAATCTTTGTATAGAATTACAGCTTCCATAGTATTATGTGAAATCTTGATGTCAAATTATTCTTGAAATACTCACACCAAATAGTTGATGACATGGGGCATGACCTACCTCACCCTCTCTTACTGGTTTTTACCCCCAAAGGTCATCTTTGTCACGTCTGACCAGGGAACGTGCAAAGGGAGATGAGTTTTGTCAATGAGTTTATGGTGGGGGTGTTTTTCTTTGGTATGTGTATGTTGCAAAGTTGGACGCCTGTGTCCAATGTTAGATTAAAAACAGAAAGGAGCTAATTGGGGGAGGATAAAAAAACTAGAATTATTTCCAGTTCCTTGATTTAACAGGTTTCAGAATGTCTCCTTTGTGTTTTCATACTGCCTATTCCCAGAATCCAGCAGACATAAGTGTTTCTTCAAATATAAGCAAAATCAGTTATCCTCCATTGCAGGTAAGAGTTAATAACTGACTCCCTCAAACATACCTATTTAGGAAAACACATGCATCTCCCAGCCATTTTCCTGTGAAAGCCTGAGAGATTTCTTAAAGTAAGAATTACTGATTGTTGCCCTGACATTTCTGCTCGGATAATGGAGCCTTCTCTTCTAACTTGTACCAATATTTGCAAATTATTTCCCTATTTGTGTTAGAGTCATTGGTGATTAGTAGGGAAAGAAGCCAACTATAATCATCTTAGATTTGCATACAAGTCAGGCCACTTTGCATTCTCCTAGAAATTTAATCAAGCCATAATCAAAATCAATATTATTCTGATTAGTTGTGCAACATGGGGACAAGGTGTACAGCAATATTGATCTTTATTTCATGGAAAAAAAAACACTTTTCCTTCCTTCCTTCCTTCTTTCCTTTCATTCAGCAGATACTCACTGTGTACCTCCTCAGGTGCTATATGCCATTTTCGGTTATCAGGGTATAGGAGTGAAAAAGGAATACCCATCAGTGGAAAACCGTTATGCTATATACACACAGACATGTTCAATATACATTATGCTAGGTGGTTGTTACGGCCATGGAGAAAAATAAAGCCAAAAAGGGGGTAGTGGTAGCAGAGGGAAGAGGTGAATTTTCTATAAGGTGGTCAGGAAGAACCTCACTGAGCAGGTGATTTGTGAGTGAGGACCTGAAGAGAGTGCAGGAAAGCATCCTGGTGACATCTGGAAAAGGAGCTTTCCGGATAGAGAATAAAGCGAGTACAGAAGTTCTGACATGACCCTCTGTAATGCTCATTTCACGTAAAAAGCATTATAAAATACGAGGTGTGGTTGGAGTCAGGTGGGAAGAAATCCAGGAGAGTGTGCACTGGAAGCCAAAGGCAGGAAGCATTTCTAGGAAGGAAGGAAGGCTGATCATCCGTGCTCCATGAGACCAAGCAGGAGCCGGCTGAGAAATGAACATTGGACTTCGAAACTTGGAGGTCCTTGGTGGCCTTGACCAGGGGATGGCAGGGCTGAGAGCCTGCTTGAATTGGGTTCATGTGCAAAGAAGGAAGAGGAATGGGAGAGAGCAAATACTGGTGACTTCTTCTTTGAGGAATTCAGCTGTAAAGGACAGCCAAGAATGAGGCAGCTGGGGTGAGGGAATGTGGAATCAAGACCCTTTTCTTTTTTCACACGAAAAGCTGAGGCATGTTGATGGGCCAATGGGAGTGGCTCTGTAGAGGAGTAGGGGTTGGTGATGCAGGGGAGAGGAGAGACCGTCGGGAACAACGTCCCGGCTCACAGCTGCCGAGTCGAGTCTCTACCTGAGACACGAGTAGGGACAGCTCAGCCTGGTGGCAGAGGGGACGGCTAAATATGCAGGGTGGTTGCTCCTGCTGTCCCTCTTTTCTCGGTGAGACGGGAGGGACAGTTGGCAGCGGAGAGCACACATGGGGGTAGAGCCTTCCAGGGAGATGAAAGGATAGTGAAATCGCCATTTAGGAGGGTAGGGAGTAATGAAGTTGGGAAAGGGATGAGTTTGGAGTGAGATCCATGAGCCTGGTGTCTTTCTGTCACATTCAGCTGTGTAGGCACAGGTGCAGAAAACAGAGAGTTGGGTTCAACGTGGAGTTTGGTTTTCAGCTAGGCGAGCGGAGAGGTGGGAGGAGAAGAGACTGGGATGGGAAGGGTAGTTGGTCGGTTGGCTCCAGGTCCCAGTGGGTCCAAAGAGTTTTGGGAATTTAAGGACTAGCAAGGTTTAGCTGGAAAAGCAGATGTTGGCTGAAGAATGGGATCCTTGACATGGAGATTGTGGAGGCACGCAGGGACTGGCAGTGGTGGGGCCGGGGGAGGGCTGGGGGTGCTGATGGCTGAGTTAGGACAGAGGAAGAGTTGACTGCAGAGGTTGAGGTCACGGACTCAGGAAGCCAGGGTGTCAGAAGTGTGGCCCGTGTGGACATTGACACCCTCCAGAATTACCACCAGAGCCAGCTTGGAGAGAGTTCTGTTGTCACAAACTGAAGCTTCAAGAAATGCCGTCAGGAGGGAGCAGGGAGAGAGTGGGGGCGGAGACTGGGGAGAGGGAGGTGGGGCTCAGGAGCTGCCTGCAGATGGAGAAAGAGCACCCGGTGGAGCCTGAGAGTTCGAAATTCAAGGCTAGAGGATTGGTTTCAGGAGAGAAGAGAACTGTCCCAAGACTTGGAGCATTGTGGAGCAATGCTTGGTAGTATGAAGTGTGCAGAAAACATGTGAGGGAGCGGCCGAGGAAGTGGTGTCCCAGGGCAGGAGCCAGTTTCAGGGAGGGAAGAAGGGGGGAAGGACCCTGGGAATGGATTGAAGTCACAGGGGTGGGAGTTGGGAAAGCTCAAGGACAAAGAAGGGCAAAGGGGTACACCGAGCCACGTGTCGGGGTGGGAGTCAGACTGGAGAATGACAGGGGAGCCAGGGACTGCTTTGGGGACTGATATAAATCAGATGTGTCAGCCTGGGACATTTCTATCCTGATGATACATGACAGAAGCTGGTGGCCTCAGGGCAGATGGTCCTGAGGCTCTGGAGAGAAAGCCGAGCGGTCCAGCCCCACCGCTCCTGCGGGTTGGGGTAGGGTGGCCGCTCCCTCTCCGGGAGCTGATGAAACGTGCAGGCTCTCTCTGGATGCTGGAGGCAACTTTTATCACTTGACAAAATGAAATTTTATATTAATATGTGTTACAAGTGCCCTTGGACACATCATTTCAGTCCCTCGCTGATGTGGCTTTTCCATTTGTAGAAAAGGAAGAGAAATGGTCAGCCATCTCTTAGAATTTTTGGAAATAAATAGAATTGCAAAGTGACGTGCAAATAGTAAGTGCTACACTAAAATGTTTCTGATTTAAATACTGTATACATTATTTATACTCAATCAGTAGATTGAACTAGTAGCAACAAGGTAGGCAATGAAGTAAGTGTGATGTGCACCTAAAAGTGAACTGATAAGATGAATGCAGATACTGGTTAATTACTGAATGCACTGCTGGATGGTGGAGATGCTTATCGGTCATCTAATTTCTTCATATGTGATTCCTTTCCATTTTCATCGGTCCCCAGTAAGCACTTGAGTTTTGAGATCTAGATTAAAAATAAATCATTACACACTATAAATAATTTACCTTCCTAAAATAAAAATACAATTAAAACTCCTTGGAATTTAACATATAACCCATTTACTTTAGCTTCTTGGCCCCGTGACTTGTGTTTATAATTCACGTTCATAAAGCACCTTTCATGCCCCCAAGTCCAAAGTAAATGGCAAAGATGTTATCACATAGTAGGACATAAGCGACCCCAAAGTTCAAGGTGAGCCTTAAAAGAAAAAAAACAACCCACCAGGAGTGATATCTGTCATCAGTCCATAGGGCTGTGAGAGCCTTCAGAAGAACTGCGTTTCAAAAATACCTGCACTTACACCAGCTTCCCCCACCCCAATTTCAATCAATTTTAAGGAAACAAAATTCATTTATTCAACAAACATTTTGTGAATACCTTTTTTGTACTATTACTGTGCTAGTGTTAGATACAATGGTAAACAAGGAAATCACAAGAACAAATCATGGTAAATGCTAAAAAGAAAACAGTGATTGAGATTTAACCTAATTTAGATAAGGAGCTAAGGAACCGTGAACCATAAAGGTTGAAAAGGCACCACTGTTCACTGAGCTGGGATCTCAGTATGGGATAGAAGAACATTCGAAACAGAGGG